AAGGCACCACAATATTCCTCTTGGCCCCCTTTCTGATCACATGCATGTGCCATCAATTTGGCCCCATTTCAATTCATGAATTATTAAAACATTACTATTCTTTCAAAATGTTTTGTTTCTCTTGAATTTTGATATTTATTTATTTATTTAAGATTTGAAGCTTTGATATTTTTAATTAAGAATGAGTTGATGACTGTCACGACCCTCGACCCCCCTTATTTTAACTCTTATAGCCATTGTCGGCCTCCCTCCCAACAATTCTCGTTTCATAAAAATTTCTTCTTGTTCGTGTAGATTTCTCGTGGACGAAACCCCAGTTCGAGCCCACAAGAATATGGAAGACAAGGGTGTGCCATTTCCTCGAGACCAATCCATGGGAGTTTACAGCTCTATTTGGAACGCAGACGATTGGGCCACTCAGGGCGGCCGAGTTAAGACCGATTGGTTCCACTCCCCCTTTATTGCCTCTTATAAGGGCTTCCAAATCAACGCCTGCGAGTGCTCCTCCGCCACCGGAGCCACTGCCAACGCCACCTGTTGTAGCGGTAGCGGTAGCGGCGACAACGGCAAGAAGTTCTGGTGGGACGAGCCAGTGCTTTCAGAGTTGAATGTACATCAAAGCCATCAGTTGCTCTGGGTTCGGGCCAACCATATGATTTACGATTACTGTACTGATACTGCTAGATTTGCAGTTACGCCTGTTGAATGTATTCACCACCGCCGCTAGCGGCGGTGGCTATAGATTAGTGCTTTTGTTGGTCGTCGATGGTGTCTCTTTTGTGTAAAATAACATTAATTTTTTTTAAATTCCTTTTTCATATCTTGACGACGAATGGTGATAGTTGAATCCCTAGCAGATTTTGTCCATTTTAATTTGGTACTTATTTTTGTCAATCTAACGTTTTCTACTCTTAAAAAATGTTCTGCTTATAGCTTTTATTATTGTTAATTTGTTTAATCAAATCTATTATTATTATTTCGTTTAATCAAATCCATCTCATATTGATGTCTATTTATGGGTATATATGTTAATCTTATATTTTGTTTAATTGGTGTAAGTTAAGATATGATTCAAAAAATAAAATATGAATTAAAATTAACATAATCATATTTTTGTAAGCCATTTTTCTTTTATTTACATGAATTTAAAAAAGTCTTGAACATTTGTAAAATTATATACTCACGAACATTTGTAAGATTAACTTGTTTTTTTCTTTCTCACACACACACACACACATATATATATATATATATATATATATATATATATATATATATATATATATTCGTACAAATAAGTTACTTTTTTCTAGTTCTTGGTACAATACAAAGTTATATAAAATTATGAAGTTGGTGGAACCTATTCCCATTCAGCTAAAAAGCAAGCGAATGGCTACCCAATTGGAGTCCCATTATTATAAGGTATCACCTAAAGTATGGTCCATTATTATCGAAAAAGTATGGTCCCTTGTTGAATTATGGAGGTCCAAAAAAGTCTGCCTCGTACTTCTGAAATCAAACATTTGATAGAAGTTCTTCATTTTCGTACCTTCCACTTTATTAAGATTTTTTTAAAAAAAATAGTTCGTTAAACATTAGGATATCGTTTTATTTAACATTTGACATGTTACTAAATGATATACATACATATTATTTAAAAAAAATTCTAAAAAAATAATTGTGATAAAATTTACTCAAACTTTTTAAAATATAATTGTTTGAGGTTTTTGAACTTTGATTAAATTATTATTTTAGTGTTTGATATATCATTTTTTAAAATTAAAATAAAAATACCAAATTTTTTATTTTTCTATATTTGAAGGGCTAAAATAGTTATTTTAAACAAAGCCGAGATATTTTCCATAATTCACTCCTCTTGTTTACTGTTTGTAATTGGACTACTGAAAGAGAGCCCAATGGGCCATCTAACTATGTCAGCCAAGATCTATTTGGGCCTATATTTGGGCTTGATTAGGGCAACAAGAAAGCACACAATCAAGCCCGTTCTGAGGAAAAGGAAACCCATAGTCGTTCCCCCATTCATGGTTGATTTTTTTAAATGCCATTTTCATCCGGTTAAAATTAAAATAGTAATTTTAAAATTACAAAAACAACTTTAACTATTTTAAAATCACATTCAAACCCTAGCATACGTTCTAATTTTTTTTTTTTTTTAAAGTTTAAAGAGAGATTAAAAGATTTAACTTTATTTTAATTGAACGGGTATGTATCGATAATTTTTTTTAATGAGGAGATCTCTCGATCGAGACGTATGGATAATGTTTTCACCAATTGAGCCGAGCATGATGTCTCGGTCTAGTACTACAATTTTTTTTTTTTGACCCATTTAAAAATAATTAAAGCTATAATAGAAGTGGGTTAGGTTGGTAGGGTACTAGAAACGATGAGTGATATATTATAATTAGTTAGGTTATTAAATAAAGAACGGTATGTGAGACCGACCATAAATGATAAAATCTTGGGGAATTAAAAAAATCCAGCTGTGAAATTGTTCACATTTATTCACATAAATAAATAACCTCCAATAATCCCCAGCTGTATTCTTTTTTCTTTTCTACTACCAATTCCCACGCGGCTTTTTTCCCTTTTCCTTTTTATTTTCTTCCAATTTTTATTTCACTTTTTCTTTGCTTCCAACTTTGTATTCATTTTCAATCTTTTTTTTCTTTTTAATTCTTTTCTAATAAAAATAAAAAGATTTTGCTAAATAAATAAATAAATAAAATAAAATTTCTCCTTTTCTACTTTTTCTTTAGGAAAATTAACTTTTCACTTTAATAAAATAATGAAATGAGTACGGGATGAATATGGTTCCCAATAATAAAAGTTTGAGCTAAATGTTTTCACGTATTTCTATAATAATATAAAATTGTCAATTTTTTTATATAATTTTCATAATTTCTCTAATTGTATTTTAAAAAAATAATAATTAAAAGACAAAATTGAAAATTTGAAATGATAGGAGCAAAAATCCAAAAATTTAATAATAAACAGCTACTCTACTCCACGCGTATTGCTTTGGTTGTGAGTAAACAGGCTCACCAAATGAAGTAATGAAGGTCCCTATACCAATTATGATGCATACTTTTCTTCAAACTACTTTTAAAACATAAAAACAAAACCTAGAAGACAGGACCCACCTCCCCCAATGCTCAACATACAACACATACTTCACCAGCTCCAAACTTTCTGTATTTAACGCCCAAACCCTCCAATCCCCCCTCACATTCAAAATCCCATATTCATAAACCTCTTTAATTCAATTAAAGCTTCCTCATATCCAAATCCCATGCCCAAAATTTCCCTTCTTTGCCTCATTCTGGCCGAGATCTTGCTGATTCAAGCAATGGCTTCGACTGCCACAACCACGACTCGCCATGTGTCGGCGGCCCCGGAGCCATCGGAGACCGGCAACGTAGAAGGGCCTGGACTGGCGGAGGCGCCGGAGATCCGACGCCTGGGAAAGCACCACAGTGATAAGTCCGTGGCCGGCGGGGGAGTCATCATTGGCGGCCTTGTTACGGCAGTTTTTGCAGCTGTTTTTTGTTACATTCGGGTTACTAGAAAAAGAGATGGGGTTGATTCGGCTCATTGAGATTTTTTTTTTTTTAAATATTTTTATTACTGATATTGAAGTGAATAGTGAAGTGGGTTAGTTTTTGGTTATAAAATCTCTTGTGAGAATATTCTAATTCGTTTTGTAAAGCAAAAGTTTCATTCGTTTTGAAGCCTAAAAACGCCGAAAAATTTTGAGCATTTGGAGGCCAATGGGTAAATGTTCATTCGAATGGTGGCATGCACCCATCTACTTCGCCGTCTCTGTAGTCTTAGCCTTCTTCGCCATCTCCACAGCTCTGAACTCCACGGCTACTTCCCACTCTGCAACTCCGCCGATCAAAGCCGTCGCCGACGAACTCTCCATAAACGCATCAAGAGCCTTAAGAAGAGCCGGTTTCAACACCATTGCCACGCTCCTTCAGGTCTCCCCTGAACACTTCTTCTCCCCTCAGAACTCCACCATTTTCGCCATTAAAGATTCCGCCATCTCCAACACCTCTCTACCACCATGGCTCCTCAAGAATCTTGTTCAATACCACACTTCTCCTTCTAAGCTTTCTATGGCTGACTTGTTAAAGAAGCCTCAAGGGGTCTGTCTCCCGACCCTTTTGGCGCCAAAGAAAATTGCTATTACTAGAATGGATTCCACTGCTAGATTGGTTGAGATCAATCATGTTCTTGTTACAGACCCTGATATTTTTCTTGGTGGAAATGTTTCCATTCATGGCGTTCTTGGGCCATTTTCTCCTTTGGATCCTCTCGATGTTCATCAGGGATGGAGCTTTATTCAAGCGCCGTTCTGTGATTCAACCGCTACTTTAATTTCAGATTCTCTTGAAAACAAGAAGGGGGTTGAAGTTGAATGGAGAAGAATCATACGGTGGCTCAGTGCAAATGGGTTTGTTTCTTATGCAATCGGATTGCAATCCGTTCTCGAAGGGATTCTTCAAGATTTCGAAGGGTTGAGATCGATTACCGTTTTTGCACCGCCGAATTTGGCCTCTGTGGCATCTTCATCGCCTGTTCTGACGCGAGCAGTGAGGCTTCACATTGTTCCTCGAATGGTTACATACAAATTCCTCGCTTCGTTGCCGGCCAGAACTTCGTTCAAGACGCTCGTCTCCGGCCAAGATCTTCAGGTCCTCGGCGGTGTTCGGGTTCCGAGAGGAACGGTGGTCGTTAATGGCGTGGAGATTGTCTCGCCGGAGATTTTCCGGTCAAGGAACTGTGTGATCCATGGGATTTCCCGGTCGCTTGAGACCGCCAGTTTACCTCATTTATCAAGGTGACATCTGTTCTGATTCAGAATTCAGAATTCAGATTTTATTGACATGATGAAGAATATACAAATACATAGGAAGGAAATTCTGACCTGCAAGTTCTGTACATTAGGTTTTCGTTTCGGAAAAGAATAAAACAAATTGAAATCGAAAAAGGAGATTAAGAAATCGAACGAACGTTCTATGGAGAAATTCTTTTCATTAGAATGCGAGTCATTTTCAACCCTGTTAGCGTCACATTGATCGAATTTACAAATCGCGATTTAGTAAACAAACCTACAATCTCCCTAACTTCAGCATCTCCACATTCCTCCACGACGATCACACAGGCGCCATTCGGACGAACAGCTCTCTCCATTTCCGAGACAAATTGAGACGGAAACAAGGCCTCAGACAAATGAGGAGTAAACGCTAAATCAAAAACATGATCAAAAAAGGGCAAATTATGTGGATCAGCACGACTGACCAAGGGCGGTGAATCGACCAATTCGATGCCGGTGACATCGAGGACTCCTATCTGAGAGAGCGCCATGACCTCGTGGCCTGCTCCGGCAGAAATACAGACGACTTTGGTGTGGTTATGGAGAAGCCCTAGATCGCGAATGGTGTGGAAGAATTGGACGAATGAGGAGACCTTTTTCTGCCAATCTTTGGTGGACCAGAGGCGCTTGTTCTTCTTGTCGACGGAAACGAGCTCGCGAGGAGTGGAATCGCAGGAGGATTTGGGGAATCTGAGATGGGGTTTTGAAGGGGAATTTGGGGGAACGCAGGTTTCCGGGGTTTGGAGGAAGAGCAAGAGGAGGATGAATGTGGCTATGGCAACGAAAGCAAGTGAGAGCCTGTTGAGAAAAAGGCGTACGTGCCGTTCCATTGTTGATTTCCGATCGAAGATTGTCTTCCTCTTCGTGTTTTTGTCCTTGGTTGTAGATAAAAGAAAGAGCAAACTATCTATTATTTTAATTTAAACACGCGAACCATAGAACCACATGTTCGTTTAAAATCAAACTACGACCAAATACTATTCAATAAGGCTCATGTATAGACCAAACCTTATTCAATAAGCCTCGTATATAGACCGAACCCTGATCAACAAAACTCATGTATAGACCGAACCTTGTCCAATAAAGCTCACGTATAGCCATGCATAGATTTGAATCTCTCAAACAAGATTCAAAGGTCTCTTTGTCTTTAATAATGACAACAAAATTCAAATAGAGAGTAGATGCATGTTTAACATTAAATGTTAGTCTGAAGAACATCACATTAATTTGTTATTCTCTTCAACAATCATCTCAACAGGTTAAACTGGAAAGTACATTCTAAATATCAAATAGCATAAATCAGCAGAAATATAATATGAATAAATGTGAAGTTCAACATCAACAATATTGATAAATCATATGGAAAGACCTTTCCTTTCTGCTATCTACCTTCTTGTAAGGTGACTGTCAACTCATTATGGGAGAAAGTTTCTGGTTTGGTGGAGGAAGAAGCTCTGCTTGAGGGGCATCGTCGCACGACGAATGCCGGTGGTTTCGGAGATGGAAGAGTTGCAGTTTCGCTGCCGAGCATGAAGACCACATTTGACATGGTGGGTCGATCCCATGGATCTTCCTGCACGCACAACAGCCCCACGTTTAAACATTTCAAATATTCTTCTCTTTTGCAATTCTCACTCAGCGTTGGCTCCATTAATTCCAAGCCTTCGTCTTTCATCCATAAATCCCAAGCCTGAGAACAACGTAAAGACTCAGATTGTTGAATCTGGGATGTGCTCAAGAAGTGCTGATATTCAGAAAGTTAACTTACATAGCCTAGAAGACTCAAAGCTTTCTCTGAGTGATAGAATCCTGTGTTCCTTTTTCCACTAATGATCTCGACTACGACTACACCGAAGCTAAAGACATCAGATTTTACAGAAAATATGCCATCCAATGCGTATTCCGGTGACATATAACCACTGTTAACAAACAGAAAAATCAAGGAAATTATGTGACATTATACTATGAATATGGTTTTTGATGATTTTTATTGCATGAGACTTACTAAGTCCCTACCACCCTTCTGGTATTCGTCGCAGTTTCTTTCCCTCCAAATATCCTCGCCAAGCCAAAGTCAGATATTTTGGGATTCATCTCCTCATCTAGAAGAATGTTGCTCGTCTTCAAATCCCTATGAATAATCCTCAACCTCGAATCTTGATGTAGATAAAGAAGGCCACGAGCGATTCCCAAAATGACATTGAAGCGCACGTCCCAATCCAATGCCACACTCAGCTTTTGATCTGGCAAAAAGTAGAGTAAATCCAGAATTCAGCATATAAATGATCAAGAAAAATAAGAGAATTAAGGAAAGATAATGGTGACAAACCGAATATAAAGGCGTCTAAGCTTTTGTTTGGCATGTATTCATAAAGCAACATCTTTTCATCTCCTTCAACACAGTAGCCCAAAAGTCTAACGAGATTTCGATGCTGAAGTTTCGCAATTAACAAAACCTCGTTCTTAAACTCCTCAAAGCCTTGTCCTGAACCTCTCGAGAGCCTCTTTACAGCAATCTCCTGCCCACTAGGAAACTTGCCCTGAAAATGCAGTGATTCCAATCTATTCTTAAACCATGGCATGCGTAAAACGACCATCGATGTGTTTCAAGGATCTGTACCTTGTAAACTGGCCCAAAACCTCCCTGTCCAAGCTTATTTGCATTTGAGAAATTCCCTGTCGCAATTAGAATTGTTTCCAAATCAAAAAATGGAATGTCTATTCCATTTGTATCATCTTCCTTGAACCGACCCGATTCAATCATGTCTTTCACACGTCTCTCGTTGTCATACAAGTGAAGTATTAGATCTTTTTGGCTGTTTCCCCTGCTTTCTGAGTCCAAAGAGGATTGACTGTATTTAGATTTAAAGGAAAGAGATGAAATAGAGAGAAAATTATTCAGTGTATAAGCGGCTGTATTAAATTGGACTTGAAATTACCTTGTCTTTCAATGAGCCCAGTTTTGGAGAAGTAAATATAAAACCCAGTACATGAGAGAATAATCAGAAGGACTATACATATGGTTGTTGCAACAATAATCACAGAGAAGCTCGTTTTGCCTCTTCCATCCTTTCCTTTGTTGTGATCTATGGAAACATCAATAAGGGACTCTTGGTATAAGAAAATTTTATGTAGCTAATGGTTCCCAGCATCAATGCCATTACGAATGAACATAACCAGAAACATTATATGCAATGATTCTAACCTGTGGTGCAATTCAAGCTCCAGCCATTCCAATGGAAGTTTGTAATGCAAAGGCATCTTTTCTTTCCATCTTTACTCATGTTGCAAGTTGAGTAAGGCCAGTCTTTGCAGTCTGTAGTTGAAGAACAAGTTGGCTCTAATGGAGGCTCCCAACTGATTTCAACTTCATTGCTGGTTTTCAGAGAAAAAATCTCTGGATTGGTCTCCTTAAAGTTGCACCAGCTGGTTACATGGAAAGGAGACGACTGGTTCAGCTGAAGGGCTTTGTTTATCCAATTTTTATCACCACAATCACCAGCTTCCTTGGTTTGAATGATAAATTTCCGCGCTTCTGAATCAATGAATTTAACCTTGTACGTTCCACCTGCTGCTTCAAAGTTAACCTGGCCAGTAGCCACATTGCAGTTAAAATTGAAGTACATTGGGTCACCACATTCAGGTCCTGTGCTAAGCGGATAAGGAATGAGGTTTGTACCACATGTTCCACAATTTCTGACAGTCAACTCTGCAGAAGTGCATACTCCAGAACTTTAAAAACACAACTGAAAAACTCATCATTTTGAAAGACATACACAAACGTACCTAGATCTCGAACTGCTACTCGAACGTTGAGGTCACGGCCATTATCAAATTCATCCTGAAGATTGTTGAGATCTCCAGACCAAATCCAACAAGCAGAATTATCAATCCCACCCTGCCTAGTGATATTAGCTTCAAAATATGAGTAAGCCTGACACCGGCAGTTGTTAAGGCACTCCAATTTGCAATCAAAGACATCCTTTGCATTAAACTGGAAGTCAGGGTTTCCAGCTTTCATCATCTTTAGACTCAAAAAAGTGTCACTTTCATTGTCGACACTGCATATTGGTGATTTCCTGATGCATCCACCAGAATAATCTCCAATATTCCAACTCTCTAGAGAGGTGGGCTCAAAACCAGGCAGGCATTTGCAAGCCATACCACCCTCGCTATTACAGCTAGCAAAATCGCCACACGCATTATACACACTGCATCTATCTCTCGGCTCTGCCCAAATCTGAGACCAGACTTTGTGATCATCCCAGTTTAGATATAGAAGCTGACCTGAGCTGTTCAATACTAACCTTGTATCACTATACAATGATGATGTGAGATGTGGCACGGAGAAGTTTGGGACAGTTTTCGATGAGAAATTTGACAAAAGGTATAACAATGCAGCAGGCATCTTATCAGTGGTAATAAACTTACCTGAAACTCCACTTTTCCAGTATTTAACTGATCTCTTCCAAATGACATATTGACTTCCATCTTGATCTAGCTGAAAAGTGAAGTTCCCTTGAGCCGGATCATCATAGTTCTTCCATGAAGTCAGCACTAAGTTGTCATCCATTACCATGCCAGGAAGAAATGTATCAGTTGGGTAATCAAAACTCTGCCAAAGGATGTGCTCAGACAAGTCTTCCTGATCTACATAGCTCAAAACCAGATTTCCATTATCCATTAGCTTCAGGGTCCTCTGATCGAGTACAGAACTTCCAATGTTTGTTGACCAATAAAGATTCTGATTTCCATTATATACTTTGAGGTTGCCATCATCCTCAATCTTCAAGACACCATCTGAACCAGCAAGTGGCCTGTCTCGATTGGCAACCCAAACAACCGTACTTGGATTTGATTTGTAATACCATATTCCCAAGTATCTTCTGCCATCAGAGCTGCCATACGGCGTAAAAAAACCAAGTTCGAATCTGGATCCTGCGGATACAAGAGTATCCCCTCGCTCATCAGTTATGCAACTCTTAAACTCTAAGATATCTTTAGCAAAACAATTAACGACAGAAATTAAGAACACAAATGAGTACAAAAGAAAATAAGACATCAACTCCTCTGCAAACCAGCTGCTGATGACCAAGTTCTTGACACTTCTTCTTTTGGCCACCAATTCACTACTTCTGCTATGCAATAAACATGTTCCCTCTCCTCTATTTCCTTCATCCATTTGTTCTCGTAATTTTCAAAATAGAAGTGACCATATGAATAACGAAAAAGATCATACTCGTGAGGAACACCTTTCTTTTTGGTTTCAACAACAATACAAAAATGTCGCTTTCCCACCTGACCCACATGATCAAGCCATTTACCAATAAACACTGTGCATGATTTTGCAATTATAATAATAGTGTAAAAAAAATACCAACCAAGTGAATGATTATATAAATAATTCAAACATGAATGTCTAAAATAGAAGTTCGTTTGGAATAAATGACACATATCCTTCAAAGAAAGCCATTTTTTCAGAGTGAAATTCACAAGAAAATATTCATTCTTGGTTCAGATTCTAAACCCAGATATTGAGCAATTGTAATCTAAACAGCACTAATGTACAACTTTTTCCCCCCACTTGCAAGTGCAAATTGATAATCAGAAAGTGTAATTGGGTGTTTGTGTTTGTCTAAGCTGAATTATTGGAAGGAAAATTGGGCAACCAAGGTCAAGATTCACTGTTCTTGTCAATTTCACCTTTCCATTAGTGGACCCATTACTCTATAAACTTTTTCTCCTCATCTTTATGAGAGAGAGAGAGAGAGACTAAAGGCGTAGCCTACACAATTTGATCAACCCTAACTTTGCTTTCATCTTCATTTGGGCGGGCGATTCTAATGCATTAAAATCGTCTCCATCTTTCACTTTTTTTAAAAATCGAAGAAGAGAGGCCCACACAGAAGACTTTCGTCGATTGCACGTTCTTTAATGGCACAGATGGTGCGATTCTATAGCCTGAGACAAAGCAAAGCCATCGAGCAGTACAATTCACAAAAGAGTCAAATCCCCAATTTACAGAACCCTAGGCAGGCTCTCCGAAATTTCGCAGAAGACTAGAAGTGGAAGTTAAGCAACTATGGACTACAAACAAAAGACGTTGAAAAGAAACGAACACATACCGATGATCCACACCCTTCTGCTTTCTGATACCCCATTTTTGACATTCACTTCACTTCTGCAACTTCCACTGTGGAAACGATGACGTCAGCAGACGAGAGTATGAGCAACGACAATCAATTATACAAATTTCGCGGTTTCAAATTTAAATTTGTTAATTAGGGAAATAGTCAATTTTAAGAATTAATTATTTTCTATTGGTATTATAATATAATAAAATTTTTGAAATTAATTTCATTTACCAACCTCACATTTTATTCTCCAATATTGTTTTTGATATCATAAACAAAACCTTAAATTAAATTAAACCGCTAGTAGAGTACGAGAGAGAAAAGATACATAGAAAATTATATTTATTTAATTTTAAATTTTAGTTTTAATAATAAAAAATATATAATAACACTATCAAAGATGGATTAAATTAAAATTTCATAGACCAAATAAATCTATTTTATATTATGATTTATTTATTAAATGTCAAAATATGTTGTCTTTGAAAAATATGATTTTTTATTTTTTGTTATATATATATATTTCCATTGGTTTTATAATTTCATGTTCTTATCCAAGAAGAAAAAAATATGTTGCGATCCACAAATGAGGAATCCGTATAAAAATTTCATATAAAATTTGCATTTTTATTGGCCACACGAATGAAAAATAATAATTTTTTACGGAAAAAAAAGAAAATATAATGAATTTTAGGTGTAAAATAGAGGTGGAGGCGGGAAGCTTTGCGGCTAATTCAAGGCAAAGGAGGACCATCAAATCAAATTAGGGAGAGAAGGAAACGGTAAGCTGTTCTAAATTCTTTCGGCTCTTGTTGATCTGTGGACTAGAATTTTGTTTGATTAGGGAATAATTAAAGTTAATTACGTGTGTTAGTGATGAATTTTGTTTGCCGACAGGAATCAAATTCCAATTTCTTCTTCCTTCACCGATTGTTTTATTATTCCCTCTAATTTGTCCTTAATTCTTGTCTCCTTTTCTGTAATTTTAACGGAATTAGTTTCCAGAAAATATGATTAGAAATCTGTGGCCGTCGATTTTTGCTCTTAAATCATGGTTGAAAGCGTAGGGTATCGTTCATGTACTGTCAGTCGAGCGTTGATTGCGACAATATAAACCTAAGGGGGCCTTCATTTTCATTGCCTGAATAAACAGGAGAAGGGCCTTCTTTCTCTTCCATGAGATTGAAGTTTCTTTCATGATTATGTTGGGTCAGAAAGGTTAGATCATCAATTCTTCCATTTCTTTCATGATTTTGTTGGATTGTAACTCTTCGTTTAAGCTGAATCGCCGCGATAGAAGTCGCTGAAATTTTGTTGTTGTTATTGCCTGAATTGTTATATCGGATTTGGAAAGATAATCATTTGCCGTATCATCTTTAGATTGTTCTACATGTGGATGGTTGTTCATATCATATATGAATCTGTATTTATGTGTTCTTCTGGTTGTTTATCAGGTCTGCATCTCTTCTACATGTATTGGTTCAGGTTCCCTTAGTGGGCAAAAAAATTCTCTTCACTCTGGCAGCTGCAACTAGCTCGAATTCTTCTCGCACCTTCAAATGGGTGTGGGATAATGGAGTGATATCTCTTGGTGTTTTGAGGAAGTCAAGATCATCATACATTTGGAGATTGTGTCGTGTTTTAGAGGGTCTGTCACTCGATTATGGTTAAGGTTATTATTGCCTAAAAACTATTGAACTATCCATATAATTGTCTGCTGTTCATCCTTGTCGTCTTGTAAAGATTAAGATTAGACCTTTGTTTTAGGCTTGTCATTAACGAGCAAGTCGGTTATCGATTAGCGTTTTGTACACCAAATCTAGGCTGTCTGTGGATGTAGTTTTCAGTTGGTTCTCTACAATGGTTAGGTTTTCTTGTTTCCATGCTCACGTCCATAACCACAAACTAAAGGTAAATGGGAAGATCACTTCTGGAATTGATCGATATCGCCTTCTATTAATACAGGTTGTATATACTTGATTTCATCTGTCCGTGTCATATACAGAAAACGGGCCAACTGTCTGCTGAGGCAATGCATAAATCACTTGAAGATCTTTCTCGAAGTAAGGTCCCGAAGGATTCCCCTCGGAGTACAGGTCCTGATCAATTATTGATAAAAACAGAGAATGCCAAACAAGATACTAACAGAGCAGATCACATGGCTTCCATCATTGAGAATAGCAGATTGGCTAGTGAGACGACGGATGGTCTTAAGAAAAGTCGGTCCCTAGGAAGCATGCCATATGGTGATGGTTCAGCTGCTGTAGACAATGATAGTGAAGATGGCAGAGTATTTTCCTGTAACAGTTCCCAATTTAAGCTTGAAATTTCAGATTCTGGGAAGGCTCAAGGACTAAGCATGTCCGATCGGTTTAAAGACATCGTAGCCCCAGACTCTCTTTGTGCAAGTTCTGGTCCTGTTATTACTAAAGAAATCTTCTCTACTGATGACACAGCACATAGAGAAATGGAAGGTGATGAAAATGCTGGTTCGTCGTTATTTTGCGATGGTGATACTGGGAGTCATACACCAGGCACCACACAAATGATTGTAAAATCATGTTCAATGCCGAACTTTGATGCCTCATCACCTGTTTCTGGTGGTTCTCCTTCTAACGATTTCCTACCTCCATCGAGATCTTCCGAAGATCTCCAACTCTTGGATCCACGGCATGGAGAGATGTCACTTCATGAGATGGAAATGCCGGTAAATGGATGCGAATCAGGAGAAGATATTGTAGATGAGAATCAGGAGACTGAGAAAATTGATTATGAAAATTTTTTGGATGATGGGAATGATTCATACCACGATGTAATGCGGGACTGGAGAACATCGGTTGTAGATGAGGTAAACCCAAGGGAAACTCTAGACGAAGAATCCGTGGTACAGCATTTCATTGAATTGCCAGGGAACGACTTCAAGTTTAAGCGTATCGAGGAGTGGGTCAGTGATCTTCAACTTTGTAGCCCGCCTGTGGAAACAACTGAAGTCTATGAATCGGATGCTAATGAAGTGAAAAGAGATTCTAGTATCGAAACTGGTTCCAGTGCTGGACGAATCGATTCCAAAGCAACTGCAGGCATGGAAGCTGCTAAGAGATATATATCTTCGATGTCTGCAGCAGCCTCTACTGCGCAGTTGGCAAACCATGGATTGGTTGTGATCCCATTTCTTAGTGCATTCGTAAGCTTAAAGGTGCTCAATCTATCAGCAAATTCCATAGGTTTGTAAGCTTAAGCTCTGCTGTCCAGAATTGATTTCTTTCTTGATATTTTATGTTGATCAGTTATATACATCATCTTTATAGGAAAGATCACTGCCGGTGCTCTACCACGGGGTTTACATAGCCTGAATTTGTCTAGAAATAACATCTCAACCATTGAAGGATTAAGAGAACTGACACGACTCCGGGTGCTGGATTTGAGCTATAACCGAATAAGCCGAATTGGACACGGTACGTTTCCCAGATTCCAAACTTCATTTTGTTTGCAGACTGAAAAAGTTATGTTAGTCTTGCCTCTGATCTCTCCTTTTAACATATTGATGAAGGCTTGGCTTCCTGCTCGTCGTTGAAGGAGTTGTATTTAGCTGGAAATAAAATTAGCGAGGTAGAGGGTCTTCATCGGCTCTTAAAACTGTGCATACTCGACGTGTGCTTTAACAAGATCTCAACAACCAAGAGTCTCGGCCAACTCGCTGCCAACTACAATTCTTTGCAGGTCATCAGCTTGGGAGGCAACCCAGCACAGAAGAATGTTGGAGATGACCAGCTGAAGAAACACCTGCAGGGCCTTCTTCCACATCTCGTTTACTACAACCGGCGGCCCACCAAAGGCAGTACCCTGAAGGATGGTGCCGAAAGGTCAGTCCGCCTAGGCATAAGTGGCCATCAGTTCGAGCATGGCTCTAGACTAGACCACAAGGGCACGAGGAAGACCACTCACAGCCACAGAGGTCAGGGGTTAGTCTTGCCTAGACGATCCAAGCTTCGGCAAGGACATGCCCCTGCCCTGCCCCCTTCTGGAAGTAAAGTAGACGGTAGTAGTCGATATCACCATCATTTTGACATCAGCAACAGGCAGCTCGAGTATAAATCAAACTCCCGTATGCGGCGGAGTCGAAGTGAGGGAACCTTGGCACATCTTTGAGTTATTATTCATTACTTTTCTCACTGAATGAGTTTTGTGGTCGGTGTCTTTTGAACTATGTTGTTTAGTATTGAATAATCTCTCAAATCCAATGACATCAAAGTTTTATTTTACATAATGATGATCTAATGGATTTACTTCATTTGAGTTTCCAGAGGATTGCTCAAAACTTCAAGAGTAGGAACAGAAAAAACACTAGATGAACATGCAAAACATATGTACTATTTATACGAAAAGATGTGTAGAACTTTTTGTTCTTCAAACAAAAGATGCGTAAAATTTTCAAGAAAACAGCCCGCCACAAGATTAAGGGACATAATTCCAAGAACTCGAACCTTTGATCTTCTCGTCAGCATCGTGATACTCCTGCTTGTCCTCACGCACATAATTTCAAGAACTTGAGATTCGATCAAGTTCATCATCTACCCCACAAGTACTCTTCGTCGAGTCACTGGTGCTTCCCTCATGATCAGCATCCAGATATCTGAGGATCACCACCGGGCATACACAATGGTGAACGCAGTAGTGACTGACACTGCCAAGTCGGCCCTTAGTGGCTCGCTTGGAGGCGCCAATGCCACGGCTCCCCATAATAACAGCGCTGAGCCCTAGTCTTTTAACCTCCAAGCACAGCCTTTCTTTCATGTCGTGATCTTTGACTATGTGAATCTTGAAAGGAATATTGGCCTCCACTAAAGGTTGAGCCAATTCAGTAGCCTTGGCTGTCGTGAGGTCGTCAAAATCCATCTCGGGCTTTAGTTGCGATTCCTCATCGCTATTCTTTTGTGGAAGGTCAATCGATCCCCAGTCCGCTCCATAGAGAACGCTGGTGGATTGCACGTGAAGAAAAAACACCAAATCGCCGGGACGGAGATAGTTCTGAACGGCCCAACGGACGGCGTATGTACTCTCATCGCTCAAATCAATAGCGATTGCGATTTTCCGCTGGCAATCCGATGGAAGGGTCCTCGGCGACGGCGGTTGTGTTTGACCGATGGCACTAGGTTTCACGCCGTGGATAGCAACAGATTTGGAGCCTGATTGCGTAGGCTGAAGACTCATGCTGGAAAATGTGGAATTACGGATGAAATATGCAAGAAAAATGCAGGAGGAAGATGGCAAATAACCTGCAAACTGGAATTGGTTATATAGGCGTTGGGAACTAACCCACCATTTCTTGATCTTCTACTGCGACTGATCATTATTTCCCGCCAACAACAAAAATAATAATAGAAAAAGGAAAAGGAAAAAAAAAAAAAAACGCCGCTGCCGGGGATCGAACCCGGGTCACCCGCGTGACAGGCGGGAATACTTACCACTATACTACAACGACCATGTTGTTAAGCATTTTTCATTTTTAATATTAATTCTATTAAGTTTGAACTCTAAGTCAGATTTTTTTTAACCGCCTATAATTTCGAGTTCTAAGGAGAATAAATATTCGCCCCGCCAAAATCCGACGATTCCTTTTGGAAATTTGAATCGAACTCCGACCTCTGCAGATACCACGGCGCTGGCGGCGGATGGAGAATGGCCTGGTTTCGGTGGACCGATGGTCGGACGGTAGCCAGATCTATTTTCTTACTCACCTGCACTCTGACCACACCAAGGGATTGTCTTCACAATGGTCTAAAGGCCCACTTTTCTGCTCTCGCCTCACCGCCAAACTGTTTTCCTTAAAATTCCCCGATTTCAACCTCTCCTTGCTCCGCGTCCTCGAAATCGGATTATGGCACTCTATCTCACTGATTTCTCCTTCATCTGGTTCTCGGAAAACTATCAAGGTCATGGCAATCGACGCTCACCATTGTCCTGGTAACCAAAGCTTTCATCTCATGTTTGACGAGTTGCTTAGCTATTTTTTGTATATGTTCTGAAGAATTAGTTTCTTTATCTAATTGTATGATAGGCGATTTTAAGATTTGCTTAGGTAGGAAGAGTTGTTACATTTCAGTATTTGGATTATGTTTTTGTTCTGGTTAGTTGCTAGAGCGCATTGGTTGATCAAGCTTTTGCTGCGATGTTTACTTTTTGCTACCACTAGGTGCTGTTATGCTCTTGTTTCGTGGAGACTTTGGCTCTTTGCTTTACACGGGGGATTTTCGGTGGGAAATGAGTAGTGAAAGGGCAAGTAAAGGAAGGATCGCGCTTCTAAATGCGCTGGAGGAGAACACTGTCGATATACTTTACTTGGATAACACCTACTGTAATCCTTATTATGCCTTCCCTTCTCGACAAATTGCTGCACAGCAGGTTAAGACTTTCCCCGATACTTCGGTGTAATTTTTTCTTGATTCTTTATTCTACACTTTTGATACGTGCCTTCATGTTGTTGTAAGAATTAACTGTCGTTATACTTAGGTAATTGATGGATTCATGGCTGTGATGGTATCAGCCATGAGAATCAAACGCTATTTGATGACTTCTGTGATACTATTCTCCTAGCTTTTCACTGAAAAATTTGAAAGACGTTTTTGGACCATAACATTTATGTTGACATGGATTGTCTGGCGGGAGACATAAAGAAGCATTTCTGATCTGATAGTATGCGCTGTGGAAAAACATTCCTGATTTGAGTTTCTGTTCATGATTGGAGTTTCTTTAATTCTTCTATTCAAGTTAAACGACGGGAACTGACAACCAGCACCACATAGTTTTCTTAAACGTTTTCTTTTACTACTTTCCTACCTTTTCTTAAACGTTTGATTTTGGTTGCAGATTGTTGATATCGTTGCCTCCCATCCAGAACATGATATCATAATTGGAATCGATTCTCTGGGCAAGGAAGATCTTTTGCTTCACATTTCTCGCATGCTTAAAATAAAGGTTCGTTATATTGTTTATTATTGGGAGAATATTTTCTGTTGTAATTAGTTGTACATGTTTCTGTTTAGAGTCTGTTAATTAGTGAGCTAATCTGTTAATTAGTCTATAGATACACTCTTAATGTAATATGTTTCTGTTTAGAGACTGTTAATTAGTGAGATAACACTTTCACAGTATTCAGTTGACGTTTACACGTTCTTAGTGAAGATGTGATTATACAGCTCACTAATGCGTTTTGGACACAATATTTCTTTCAATAATGAAATGACGGAAGTGATTTAGAAAACATTTAGAAAGGTCGTTGAGCTTGATATTCATAATCTTCTGTACATCCGGAGTCATTTATACAGATGAGACTGGTTCAGCGCGAAGATTTATTAGTTTGATGTAAACAGTACTGCCTCTTCTCTATGCAATATTGTTTATGAGGGATAAAAGATTCCATTTAGCCTCTATCTAATTCTTTCTCAAATTTCAATAGTTTGTGAGTTGGTATAAAATGTAGAAGGGGAGGTTGATAATGTTTCATTTTAGGGCTGAAGTATATAGTAACCACCTTGGTTTGAGCTATTAGAGCTAAAGAGCAAGTTAAAAATGTAAACAGAATATGGCAATGTCCCGTTCAAACCGATGTGCTCAACAGCCTTGAATACTAAAATCCTACGCATTTTGCCATGTCAAACGGCTGTCGTACTGATTTTTTCTCTTTTTATTTTTCCTTTTTGTTCTTGAAGATTTGGGTGTGGCCAGAACGCTTGCAGACGATGCATCTTCTTGGTTTCAATGAAAGGTTCACTACGAAGACGAATCTGACTAGAGTTCGAGCTGTTCCTCGCTACAGCTTTAGCATAGATACTCTGGAGGGATTAAACCAGATGCGCCCAACCATTGGAATCATGCCGTCCGGTCTTCCTTGGGTGGTGAGACCTGGTAAAGGTGATGATATTCTTTCTGGTTCTCTTCTGACCACACTTTACCGCAGAAGCAAGTTGAATGAAAATGCTGGCGTCTTGATTGAGGAGCAAATTGGAAAGGCAGAAACAGTTAAGAGGTTGCACAAGTACATATTTTCAGTTCCTTACTCCGACCATGCTTGCTTCTCAGAGATACAAGAGTTCATAAAGCTTGTCCGTCCAACAAACATCAAAGGCATCGTTTCTTCATCTTCTTGTTACGTCGAACCCCTTTACTACTTCGGTCGTCTTTGTGGAGCAAAGCAACCTGAAAACAATGTCCATCACAAGAAAAGAAGAACAAGGAAAGGTGAAAAAGGTGCTGTTGACATTAATTTTGTTTACTCGGAGAAAAGACGAGGGAAAGGTACAAATGTTGGCATTCTTAATGTGAGCGTTCGTGGGGGACGAGTGAGTGCATTGAGACGAGTCCAGCGTGGTGCGCGTCTTGCTGGAAGTGATTGTCCTGATTGATTTCGATGAAGGATAACTGGCTTTGAGTTGATCAGAAAGGTACGCTTCTCTTGCTTTCTTGTATAGCTTGATTTGAAAAACCGTAAAGTTCCACTTTTATTGTTAATCTTCAAATGAACAGGAAATGGAAGAGTAATTTGAATTTCCCTCTTACTCTTATTGAAGTCCCAAGTGTCGTTTGCCGTTATAATCCCTACTCGTTTCTCTATTGAACGTGCCGAATTTTTTTGAAAAACTTTTACCCCGTACCTCACTCATTAAACCTTATATTCCTAAAAACATCCTTTATACTCTGAATGTTTGATGATAAGATTCTATTATAAAACAAAAAGGGAATTAAATGTTAATAACCAAGTATTTATAGGATAGTTTGATATTGTCCTAAGTTTTCTTTTGGTTTGCTTTTGGTTTTTTAAACGGCTTGGAAGATGTATTGCTTACTTATATACTCCTGATCTTTCTTTAGTCAATGTGAGACTACTCTTTTCAATAATCTTCCAAATTAGATTCGTAAAAATAGTATGCACACAGTAACTGGATGTCCATTGAAAGCTGTTCAATTCAATGCGACTGTTCACTTCTGTAAGCCTTCATTTTCTTTGTTCTCTCTCTTAGAACATTTTCCACAGTTGGATGGCGAATTCGATTCATTCCCTCCAGAAGAAGGCACACAGGTCAGTTTCTTCTGTCTTTTTACAGCTCTAAACATTTAATAATTGAAGATATCTTCATGTTTTTTTTGTGGTGCGGTTTGTGGGAAGATATTCTGCTAGTGGGCATTTTATTTATTGGGTGAAATCATGCGAGGACGAAAAGAAAGCCGTTATGGATGAACCAATGATGTTTATGGCGTTTGATTTAG